TTATAATTTTATACAAAAAATTGGTATCTTAAACTTTAGTAAAAACTTATTACACGTAATAAAAAGATTTGTATTTCATTATTAGTACCTGGCTCACATGATATCATTATTTCCTGATAACTCATAGTATAAAAGGTGAGCTTTATGTGAATATCTATCTATAAATTATTCAGTAAAAAATAATAGACTAGCAGTGAATATACGGATTACAAAGATTTTTCAACAAATATTAATCATTCAAGCATTGCTACCATATTATAGAAAATATCTCAAATAATTATCATTTTCTATTATTTAATTCATTTATTTAATATGATTTTATAAATAATTAAATATAATTAAACTATATTTGTATTAATAGTTTTCAGTGAGACGTGAACTATAGGTCGAGTCAATCAACGCCACCAAACATGAGTTCATTTGGCACTTACGATGACATCAAACGTGTGGCTAAACCGGGAGATCTGATTGAAATCCAGTGGCCTTTGGTTAACCATTGGGCGATATGCGAGTCCACTGACCGGGGTAATATCTGGTAATATCTGGTAATATCTGGTAATATCTGGTAATATCTGGTAATATCTGGTAATATCTGGTAATATCTGGTAATATCTGGTAATATCTGGTAATATCTGGTGCTATCACGTGGACGCCGTAAATAAGACGGATGGAGATGTTCGGGTCCGATATGAGCCGTTGTATGGCATAGTGGACGCCCAACCGTGTCGTGTGAACAACAAGGAAAGGGAGGCTGAAGTTAGGCGAGTGAGTGCCCGACCACTGGAGTGGGTGTTCCGGGAGTTGCGGCAATTGGTGCGCAAAATGGTTAAGTATGAGGTGAACGTATGTGTCAATGGGTATGTCGTTTAGTATTGTATTGTATTCATACATATTGTTATGGTGTGAATATAGGGTTATAACTGCGAGTACTACTGCACCCAATGGAAGTACGGCATCGGGTGGTCCACACCAGTGGAGAAGTCCGAGCGCACCCCTATAGGTTCTATGGCAGTCCTTATTATTGTCAGTAACATATAAGAAAAACATTTATATCAATATTTGCTTTATTACAAAGTGAAATAGAACTTGATAATGTTGTTTTCAAAATATAGAATATTATAAATATCTTATATTATATAATATATAACGGTATGATTTAACGAAATGAGTCTTTAAACTCTTCTTTTCAAATGACTGTAATAGTGCTAAACAGTACTGTACTGTCATATTGAAAGAAGAGTTGAAAGACTTATCTCATTAAATCATAACAGATATATCGTATAAGTTATAACAACTTTAATACTGTATTTGATCACGAATGTAGTTGTACAATAGTAGATTAATTATTATATTTTAAATATACAGTGGTATTCATAGTGTCGACTTAAGTCTTAGCTGAGTCTCACATTTTAAGTAGTTGCTCAGTTGGTTTCATAAACACATTTAAACACATTTAATCTGAGCTGCACCTTAAAACAACGTCTCACATCTCGAAAATTTAAGTCTCATACCGATCAAAATTATCCCTGTAAGTAGGCTTCCCCTATGAAAGTGTATGGGTAAACATTGGAGTGAATTTTCACAACATTCCAAAACATTCATTGAATTGATGTATATAATTGTCATTACCACCAATACATCATTTGGCTAAACACGCTGTCTCTGAGGGCACCAAAGTTGTCACCAAATATACCTCAAGCAAGTAGACCACAGATGGATAGTGATTTGGATCTCGTTGAAGACATCGACTTTGTGGAAAACGTGAAGACACGTGAAAGGACGACATATTCAACGTTTGATCCACTAGTGCAATACCCAGACGAAGCGTTTCGGAAGCGGTACCGGATGTCCAAACGATCATTTCAAGACTTATTAAACCTAATAATAGGACATCTTGAAGTGGATTCTGATCGCGGACAACCGGTGACACCATAGGGGTCTCGCAACCGACGATTTCAAGAATCGTCGCCAGGGTTTCCAACTCAATATGTAGCCTTTATAACCAGTTCATAGTTTCCGACGAATGAAAGTTCGCCGGAAATTATGGAAGGGTTCTATAGACTACTGAGTGGAGAGCCATTGGCGAAACCCTTTCCTGGTATCATCGGTGCCATTGATTGCACTCACGTGCAAGTGCTGGAATGCCAAACCGGGGGCATTATAGGAACCGTAAGGTGTGCATCACAATAAACATTCAAGCTATTTGTGATGCAGACCTTCGGTTCACTTATGTTGTTGTAAGATGGCCGGGGCCGGTTCATGACAGCCGCATCTTCAACAGTGAAGTTTGCGCCCAATTGGTAAACCAAGAGGTAAGCCATACAACAATTTGTCTCTTTGTTGGCCAAGATATTCCGAACGCCGTCTCATCTCTTCGGCAATCATAACTAAGACGTTTTGTTTACACTTTTTAATGACTTTTTAGGTTAGACCTGGTTGGCTTTTTGGTGACAGTGGATATGGATGCAAGCCATACCTACTGACACCAATTTTGGAGCCAAAAACCAGAGGTCAACGGGCGTACAATTATGCCCACATCAGGACCTGAAACGTGATTGAAAGGGCATTCGGTGTCTTGAAGAAGCGGTTCGCATGTCTCTCCGGTGTCATCAGGCAGAATATGGCACACACTTTGTCCACAATCACTGCCTGTTTTATACTACATAACTTTCTTCGGCAAAATAATGATTACATCCCCGAAGATATGTAAATGCCTTATAATGGCGAGCCGGACACACCAGAGAACCGCCACTTCAACCGCTCAGGGATATGCCGCCCGCCAATCACTTATTCAGCGGTTTTTCAATTGAGTTTAGAAGTGGCAAAATTGCATAAAACCTATGGCTCAGTGATTGAGACATCATTATTTGAACTTAGAATTAATTATTTGTCATAAAATTTATAAATATAATAAAATAACTTTTAGACAATGCTTTTGAACATTATTTGCAACGATTTCAATGACTATTGATTCTCTGGTCGGCGCTCGACTTGTCATAAGCCTTGAAGAGTGGTCGGCTTTTGTTGATCTCATCATAATAAGGCAGATCTCGTTTGAGTCGATCACTCCATTCCTTCACATTAATATAGGTACTGATCATATCGTAATCAAACAAAGGATTAAGTTTTAAAAACTACTCTTCCTTTTGTTCCCCTTTTATTGAATAAAATCATTATATAATTAATGAACAAATAATTTATTAAATAATAGTTGATTACAAAAACAAATAAAATATAATATCAAGAGATGACGTCGGAATCTATGTCATAGTAAAAGTTAGACCAATTGGGATCCGTTTGCATGAATTGAAACTCAAATATTTCTCTTAAACACAAATTCAGTAATTGTTTTGCGATTCTATTCTTTAATTGAGTGTTATAAAATTATGTGATGGTTCGCCAAGTTGTCCATCAATTGATCCAAAGTCTTGTTCGTAACGCCGGCGCCACCAGGCTGTACTCAGGTACAGCTCACCCATCTTGGCCTCATGCTCTTCCCGTAGCATCTGATGTTCTTCTCGGCGCATTACATGTTGTTCCCTGCGCATCTGAAGGATTTCATCTGCTATGGGAGGAGTTTGATGGCCAGTGGCGGCTGAAAGTTTTAGCTTCCGGCTGAAGAACTTTTCTTTTGCTAGAGTGAAGACTTTCAGTGGCCGGGCTTTCATCCATTTCTGTATTGGGTTTGGATGAAAGTTTGATAACCTGATCCCCATGATGACCAGTATCTCCATCATACTCGTTATCAAGAGGATACAGGTCATCTCCCAATACCACGGCCACTCTTTCATCCAATTGGCAATAGGTTGAGCTGCCTGACCACCACCAGTGCCGCCCCGATATGGTTTACCCCTGACGACAGTTTTTCGGGTGGTTAGGCAGAGATTGCTTCAACATTTCCGGAGTTGGAAGGCGGTGCGGGAGTTAATAATAGATGCGTTTGAATTATACGCAACTGTTATCTTCTCCCACGCCTCCTTCTTCCGATTCGTATACGTGTCCTTTGAATCTTTAACGATGTCAGAAGAGTCTTCTCCTGTTGGAAGAAATTGAACCGTTTATGGTCAGTGGCGTCGGGGTTGTTGCACTGCCATGTTTTGATGATATTGGCTAACGAGTGGTTTGGCGAGAAGCACACGGCGTTTATGAATTAGATTTGATGATGTGTTGACTGTTTATGTCACAGTCTTCGATGTCTTCAGTGTCTTGAACCGATTGTCAATCGCTGCGTATTTGGTTTCCAATGAATTGAATGTCTTTTTGTGTCCAATATTTTGATCGCAAATACAGTTCGCATTCAAACCAATGAGTAATTGGGTTGGAAATGAAAAACGACTCTCAAATTACGCGCTTTACGCATGCGTTTTACTGCCTGCGTGAACTTGAGAGATAGATCTTTAAGATGATCTCAAGTCTTGTTTTTGAAAGACAATTTAAGCTGATGTATACCTTAAGCTTAAAAAGGATTAATGTAAGGTCCAGCTCAGATTAAAATTCAATTTGTTTATGAATACCACTGATATATATATTAGAAATTATTTTTAAAAAAATTACTAAGCACGGTATTTGGTAGTCCATAAATAGGTTTGAGTGTATATTATGATTATGCATTTATTTATGTGATACTTTTATATCTAATATTTATCATTGGATTAATTACTGTGGGTTTCAATCTGAGCAAAGTACAAATTTGCAAACACTTTTATTTTCCTTGACAATCAGACAAAATAAGTTCATAACAAAACTATTATTCAATGTGATAATTTTGTGCTTTCTTATATTTTATGTATAATTTTTAAATATAAAATATAAGTCTATATAAGCATAAAATAAAACAATTATCATATTTTATTTAATTATTAAAACAATAACAAAATCAGTATGTTAAATTTGTTTTAACATTACTTTTATAATATTACAGTATACTAAACAGTGTTGTGTAATCATATTAAATCAAATTTAAATATTATCATTTTGATATTTATGTCATTTTTAAATTAAATATAGATTGACCATAACTATATCATTTAAAAATGGTCCAGCTCATACCGTTAGCAACACCGTTCATAGCCGTTGCTGGAAATCAAAATGTCCAACTTCAAATCCAGGCTATCATCCAGTGGCTAAACTCAGAAAGCGCCCATGTTACCATTAGTAGGATCAAGGATATGTGTAGCATTCTAACTGGCCTGAAAACCATGATTGACCAGTTTCATTGTCGTGAAGCGGAGGTTATTCGTGATCTGGTTGAAAAACAAAAGGTCCAGCAGGATAACCTTAACAAGTATGTTTATTATGATTTTAAATTAATTTGCAATTATTTATCTTTAATTTAGCAAGCTTAATAATTATAAACTACTCATTAGTCATTAACAGTTAGGGGCGATTTATTTTTATTTATAGGTTTACCGAGATAATTGAGGGTCAACAGACAGCGCTAATTTTCATGCAACGTTTCATGATGCTAATATTTACGTGCATGCTCTTCATTATAATGGCCTTGATGCTTGGGTATTATCTGCAAAAATAAATGCAATAAGAAATTATTCTGAAATTTAATAACAATTTGGTTATTATTTAGTGTAATAAAAATTATAAACTTTTGTTATATGACCTAAAATTTATGTTATTTTTGGGTACAAATAACTTGAAAATTTTTATAAATAATGTTATAATCATGTATTATCCCAATTTCATATATCTGATAGACCAAAGCCAAACCGACCTCTGAAAAGTTGCTTTTATTTCTTCTTGAAACATTGCTTTTCTGTAAAATTTGAAATTTACTTATATTAAACATGATAAATTTCAAATTTTTATAGGAAAGCAATGTTTCAAGAAGAAATAAAAGCAACTTTTCAGAGGTCGGTTTGGCTTTGGTCTATAAGACATAGTATTATAATTTCTCTATCATATAAATAATTGGTGTTTAATAATATTATGTTATTATGTTTATATTAATGTAGTTTAACATGACATTTAACATGATCACTTTGATATACATGATAAACATGTTAATTTAATTAAATTTTTTTTAAATATCAATATTTTACAAAACATTATTTATAATTTAATTAAATGAAATAAAGTTCAGAATATTATCTACAATATTACATCAGGCTAATAATTTTAATAATAGAAATTTTAATTTAAAAATTTGCAAAAAAATGTATTATGCTTACTTGAAAAAACTTAATAAACATATATTTAGAAATTTAAGTTAATATATAAACAAAAATTTAAGTCTAAAATAAATATTTCTAATTAAAATTTTATATTAGTTAAATGTCTACTTGTAATTTAATTCCAAAAACACAAATAGTCATAAGACTTGCCAAATGTTTGTCTCACAAGTCAGTTACTAAACACAGTTGGTAACAGTCGGATTAAAACTAAAAATTTAAGTATGTATTTACACTTTTAATTATATTAATAATTTTTAAAGTTTTAAAACTTCAATAGGGCTACAATTAACATTAAATTATTTATGTTACATATTTTACATTATAAATAATGCTTTGTAACACGTAAATAAGTATCATATAATGTCAAAGTTGATTTATGATAAAATAAAATATAATTAGAGTACAGGTTAGAGTACCATAGTGGCGAGTATGTCAAAATGTGGTAAATACGGGCCAAATATGGGTTCATTTGGCACTCACTGAGATCTACAAAGTGGTCGTACCCGGAGATCTCATAGAAGTTCAGAGGTCCTGTGGTTTGAAGCATTCGGTTATATGCGAGTGCACAACGGACCAGGGTGTTATCTGGTGCTATCATGTATCACCGAATAGCAATAAGGCCAAATTTAATGTCTTCGTTAAGTATCACCCGTTGAGTGACATATTGGAGAGGGAGGGGGCAAATGGGCCGGACTTGTGTCGGGTGAACAACCAGGAAAGGCAGGCCAACCGAAAGCGAGTGACAGCTCGACCATTGGATCAGGTGGGATAATTTTTCACAAACTTGGACTTTGCCCCTAGATCAACTCAGAATTAAAAAATAAAACTCGTAAAAATTTTTCCATAAAGTACGTCTCGATATTTACGTAATTTATGGACAAAAATTATTTTGATTGTAATTTTTGGATTCAGTATAACGATATCTATCTTATAAAATTATTTCCATCCATAAATAACGTACTTTATATTTTAGGTCAATTGGTCGTTAGGTCAATAGAGCCGCACCCAATAGAATTTATAATTAGTTCATTAATAATGCCATAATGTGTGACAAAAATATCTTAAATTTAAGTTTATTTTTGTGAATGAAATGAATACAAATAACTAGGTTATTTCCAAGTAAGCCACAATTTCCCATATACTAAGATTAAATGTGAATGCTCTGTGTTTTGCATTAACTAATCATTCAATTTACTAACGTGTGGTCGACACGAGTGGTCAATTTTAAGGGTAGAGTGGGTGCCAGGGTTTCTCATTTGGTTAGTCATCGATTGTTTTTATCGATATTTTCATCGACATGATATTAATTATTAAATACACTTTTAATAAAAAATAATCAAATGTAATATTTTAAAAATTCATAAAGTAATTAAGTTTAGTTGTATTTAAAAATATTGAAATTGTCATACAGCTTTGTAATAAAATGTTTGATTGTTAGCATAGAAATAAAATATGTTATGATCAGATAATTAATGTAATATTATTTACAATAAATACTCCGTCAATTTAACTAATTAACAAAATTACTTATATATTTTAAACATAAATATAAATATCATATTCAAAATAATAATTTATATTTTAGAAACTTAAAAATACAATTTTCAAATACAATACACTTTACTATAGTCTATTAAACTAAATTGTTATATACAGTATACATTGTATTTACTGTATGTAGATATAGTGTGTTTATATTGCAAGCATTGCAATAAAATATAAAGTGTGATGAATGGCATTATTTCACACAAAACACAATATTATTATTAAATCAAAAAATAATTCAAACATACGGTGCGAATGTTAGCCTCAAGAAATACTTCGAAATACTTGCGAGGATTCAAAGAGGATAAATACGGACCAAATGTGGGTTCATTTGTCACATACCATGAGACAAGTGGTCAAACCGGGGGACCTCATCGAAATTCTACATTTGGGTTATACACATTGGGTAATATGCGAGTCCAATGACCCCAATGACCAGGGTGGTACTGTCTGGTGCTATCACGTGTCGTCCCTCAACTGGTGGGTTAAGAAGAAGGTGTACGTGAGATATGAACCACTCATTGATATACTGAAGATAAAGAATGAGACTGAAGGGCGGTGTCGGGTCAACAATCAGGATAATTTGGCTAAAGTCAAGAAACTGAGAGCCCGTCCATTGAATCAAGTGTTCAAAGAGTTGGAGATATTGAAGGACCAGAAAGTGGATTATGAGCTCAACGTATGTCTCGTGTGAAATGTCATTCATATTTATCTTAATCATAATTGGTATGAATATAGGGCCGTAACTGCGAGTATTACTGGACTCTATGGAAGTACGGGAAGGGGTGGTCGCTACAAGCGGCTGGGGTTGGGGTGTGGTGGGCATTTTGGCCGCCGGAGTAGGTTTGAACACAACAGCTGCTGGCATTATGGGCATTATAGCAGGTGCAGGTGCTGGGCCGTGGGCCGCTCTGACAGTCGGAGGGATAACTTTGAAGTTTGCCTACGGTTGTATCAAAACCATGCTAACCACATAAACCAATTGGTGAGACGTAAGCCCATTGCCTACAAGTAAGGCATTCCCTGTCAGTATTACCAGTAATTGATTACTATTTTAATAATTGAAACTATTTGTCTAATTATTATTGATTATTATTAACTACTTTAAAGCATTGACAGTTTGCAATCCTTAGAGTGATATGCAATCGTGTAAATGGGTTAACATTTTAAAGACTGAGTCATATTTTCTGCATATTTTAGAGTTTGGAAATTTATCTGTAATTCCCAAAAATACCCAAACAATTAAATTAGAGTCAGTACAGAGAAAGGTAACGAAATTGATACATATGCTTATTTCCAGAGTATATCATCCCTTTATGGCTTATAAATTATAATATTGCACATAGTGTATTTTTTTCATTAATTGCAAAATGTTTATTTTAAATTATATTATAACTTAAATTTATAACTTAAAAACATTTTCATAACTTAAAATAACTCTTTTTAAATTTTAATTTTACATAATTTGTGATTTCTTAGAATTTATTTTCAATAAAATACATTTTATCCACATATCTAGATTAATGAGGTTATCCCTATTAAATATAACTTATTTTGTTTTTAAGTTTTATTAACAAGCACCTCGTAATTGTTCATGATAATTTCTAATGGTACACTACCTCCCGATTCTTTAACCCATTCAAAATTAACATGGCCAATTGTAACAAGGACCTGGTAGTGTGCTGTCCTAAGCTCCTTTCCGTCGTATGCAATATAGCAACAACCATGAGATGGAACCATCTAGGTCATATAAAATAAAAAGGTAGATTAATGTATGTGCCAGCTGTATGAAAAGATGCAAACTAGTGTTGAGGAGCATTATCAAGTTAATTTATTATAAGCAACACTAGTTATCAGTTTGTTAATTAAAACTAATTAGCAACTAATAATTGTGTGTAATATACATTGTATTAATTGCTTAAAATGAATCAAAACTTTAATAGTGTTTGGTGCTCGTAATTGTTATACTAATAGTTCTTATATATTCAATTTGATCATGTATAATAAGAATACAGTATTAAAATGTTACCCTGGTCATAATTTTAGTTTTACTGCGTGCATGTCTGTATTTCATCCAAAAAAGTCGCGAATATCGCTATGAATATAAAGCATTGATACAAGCATTCAGTGACGGTTGTACAGTGGTATGGTATTAAGCATAACAGACATGTTTGCAGTAAAACTAAAATTATGATCAGGGTAGGAATTTTATAAAAATTTAATGAACCGCACATAAAATTTTTATAAGTTTCCGACATTTTGGTATAGTTTTCGTTAGCAAAATATAATTGTAAATATTTTTAATTTAAATTTAAAGTAGTACTGATACGATGGGACACCTGATATAAATTATTTAATATTATAATTTCGTTGTTTATAATGACGTTATAATATTATGGTATAATGTTTATATGATAATACTAATTATTTAACATGATTACTTTGATTTTACTATTACTAAACATGATCATTTAATTAAATTTTTATAAAAAACAATAATTTATCAAACATTATTTCTAATAAAATTCAATTAAATTAAATACAAATTATTATTTACAATATTTTAAACTAATATTCAGACTAATAATTTAAATAATACAAATATGAAAATTTGTACAATTCAATGTATCATGTAAATTTTAAAATCCTAATAAACTTAACAATATATATTTAGAAATATATCACAATTATGTTAATATTTAAACAAAACTTTATGTTTAAAATAAAAATTTTTAATCAAAAATTTATATTAGTTAAATGTTTACTTGTAATTTGAATCTTAAAACACTTATAGTAGACTTACGAAATGTTTGTCTCACAAGTCATTTACTAAACACAGTTGGTTTAAAACTAAACAATTTAGGTATGTAATTATACTTTTAATTATATTTATAAATTAAAAAAATTTTAAACTACAATAGGGCTACAATTAACATTAAATTATTTATGTTACATAATTTACAGTTTAAATAATCCTATTTGTGCTATAATGTTACCTGGTGCTATCATATATCTCCAAATAGAAATATGTCCAAATTTAATGTCTTCGTGAGATATCAACCGTTGGGCGACATATTGGAGAGGGAGGGGGCGAAGGGGCCGGACTTGTGTCGGGTGAACAACCAGGAAAGACAGGCCAACCGAAAGCGAGTGACCGCTCGACCACTGGATCAGGTATTTGAAGGTTTAAAGGCATTGAAAGATTTGAAAGTTGGGTATAAACTCAATGTAAGTATAATAATGTGGCCTCAACTATATTCAACAAAGTATAATTAACCTTGTTTAACAATATTATATTATTACTATTAAACAATACAGTAATATGAAAGCAAATTTAAATTATACTGTTTGAATACTTGACCCAAGTTTATATTATGATTAAATTAATTAAAATGTTTTTGTCTGTGATTACAGAGCCGTAACTAGCGTTCGCAGGTCTAAAATCTAAATTCCTTGAGAATGACTAAAAAGTCTGCAAAAATTTCCTTGAGATTTCCTTGAGTATTAATTTTCAGTCATATTTACTAAGAATAATTTCTAATATTTTGCTAAATACCCTTGTAATATAATTATGCCTATTATATTATATAGATTATTGATTTAATCACTGGAATAATTGTTAACTTTTATTTATTAGTGATACTTATGTTAGACTTTATACTGTATTTGAATTATAGAAACAAAATTGTTTCCCGGAGGTTTAATTATATTTCAGATTTTATAAAATATTTCCCAATCATGCCATAAAATTCCTTGAGATTATATTTATAGAATTTTTAATTAGAGTTTACAGCAAATCCTAATAATAATATTGATTAAATTTATAAATATGGCTCTTTATCTAGTATTTGGTACTTATTATTTAAGTTTTATAACCCATTATTAATTTATTGAATAGTGTAAAATCATTTTTTATCATGTTTATTTGATTATGTAAGTTAAATAAGTTTTTGCGATTAATCAAGGAATTTTTATATGCACTTGTAGTATTTTCTATTAAAATTAAGCAAAATGATTAATAAATTCTATAATATTCCGATTCCTTGAGTGTCTCATATCAAGGAAAGACCCCTTCCTTGAGACAGGAGTCAGACCCCGATTCCTTGAGACTCCTGCCATTCCTTGAGGTTCTGGGAACGCTAGCCGTAACTGCGAGTACTATTGCACTCTATGGAAGTACGGGAAGGGGTGGTCCACTCAGGTTACTGTCGTGGAGGTGGGTATGGG